TCCATGAGCCAAAATATGATATTGCTTGGCAAGAGGAATGTGCATCTAAAATGTCAAATTACAGCTCGTAACTATTACGGGACAGTTTTGGCCATAGCCCTTTGTGACTGCTCCAAAACAAAGATTTCTCTTTCTAGGAGATCCTAAAACCTAATCCATATTTCATTTTGGAGTTTAGGTGGCATTTTGGGCATGTATTGCTTTGGTTGAACTTGAAATTTCTAATTTCTCCAGACTCCCAAAGTTTCAGTTTGCATGAACTGATAACTCTGTGTGTGCACACAGTGCAGACATTGAGAACTGCAGATCATTTCTCACCAAATCCTAAATAGCCACCTACAAAATGCACATTATTTAATATAACAGAAGAATAAAATGAGGTTCATATTGGTCAACTTTTCGTCTGAAGACAGCACAGAACAATTTAACTTGATTAAATCTCTCCCATTAATTAACTGATATCAGCATTCACAAAAATTTAATGAGAGCCTGTTTCTTGCTGTTAAAATTCTAAATCAGGTGCCACCAGTACAAACACTCAGGCCCCTGGAGTTCATTTTTCATGGGAATATGAAGAAATGGCTTCATTTTAATTGATTTTTTTTTTTTTAGTTTAGCATCTGCTAGTTTGGTATTCAGTGCCAAATTTGCAATAGATTGGATTCAGGGAAATAGAAAGGCTTAACAGAGAAATGAAATTCAGTTTTTATATTCTGAACATGGATAGGAGTGATGGAACCACTACGATTTTGCCATAAATGTTTGTGCAATTCAGCTTTTACTTTTGCTAACCTTGCTGTGCTAAGACAGGATGATTTTAAATATGAAAATGCCCATATCTGTTTCATTGCTTGCTTTTGAGGAGGTCACACTCCAGGGAAATGCAGATTCCAGCCTGGAGGGATGCCTGGAGCCATCCTGATATTTATTCCATGTTTCTGCCTGCTGGGAGACCTGGCTTTTCAGAACTGGATTTTGTGGAGGTGAGAGGGACTGATGGGAGGAGGGGAGGAGTGTTAGGGGTGGTTTTGATGAGACAAAACTTACAGGCCTCCAGATGATTGCTCAATCAAACTGAAGGATTCAGAGCTGCTCCTACTGCCAGAGGATCATTATGTTATGGAAGAGGTTTGGATGGAAGAATTGGGAATTCAGTGATAGAGTAATGATGAATCCTCCCCAGACTTGTCAGATATCCCATTGCAGGAACTCTGCCTGTTTGCTGATGATTGAAAAAGACATCTTGGCAGACTCAAATCAAAGACTTCCACAGCTTTGGAGGGCTTGAGCCTTTTAACCACATGGTAATTATAAAGACTATAAATAACACTGAAAAATCCAGTTCAAACAACCCTCAATAAATTATTTTAATGTGCTGTTATTGGCCCCCTCCTTCAGGATATCACAAGTCTGCACTGTCAGTCTGACAGGCTGAAATGTGCTCTGTCAAATCAACAGCTCAGCTCTGTCTTACAGACTGAGGGAAGCCTTGATTCCTCTTTGTAGATGTGGCATTTGGGAACAAGGAGAATTTCTGAGGGACTAGTTGGACTCGATGGTCTCAGAGATTTTCCAACCTAAACCGTTCTGTAATTCCATCAAAACTTCGCCCAACGTGAAGAAAGCTTTGTCACCTCAAAGGATATTAGGGAAGAGCCACCAGGAGAATTGTCTGGGACTGTTCTCTCCATGTTTTACAGATGAAAATGACTCCAGGAACCCATGAATTGTGGCTTTTCCTGCCCAGTTCCTTGCTGAGGGAGCCCAGGACAGCTGAGTGCAGACAATGGGCAGTGCCACCCACCCAGTGCTGCTCTGGTGGTCACAGCTTGGACTCAGTGGTCTTGGAGGTATTTTCCAGCCTCAATTAATCTGTGATTGTGTAAAATATTAAGTGTAGCTCTGAGTTCCCAGATGTAGGAACAGTGGCAAAAATCAGCTTTCCTGCCTCCTAATCAGTGATGAATGTTTGCCTTGGAAATCTCTCCAAGTATTTACTCTCTGGAGCAGGGCTGCTTCTGCTGGAACACTGCAAACCTGGGGATTTTCTTCCTATTCCCAGCTGCTGTGGTCATTACCAGGTGTAAATCTCTGTCTGCTCACCAATCTCAGCCCTCCAGGCTTGTTTTGATGGGTGCCACATTTGAGTATCTTTCCAAACCACCGAAAACATTTTTCTAACAAACAGAAAATGTCCCCCACTCTCTGTGTGCTGGAAATGACATAAACCACTCTTTTCCTGTTCAGTGAGAAAATGTTCCATGTTATCAGTATTTGCAGGAGAACAGAACTAAGAATTTATTTTCAAAGCAGCCCATACTGAGAAGTAAAGCAGGGCTTTTGAACACTTTTAATCATCTTTGTAATGTTTTAGGTGTACAAAACAAACAAAAACCTGCATCGAGTAATACCAACAGCCACCCTGAAAACAGATCTCACAGCCCCAAAACTTAGGAGTGTGTGGAAGCCCCGCTGAGCCCTCACTGCACCTTTAGGCAGAAAAATCCCTTTGAAAATCTGGGCTTTAGGCCCAACCCTGCCAAGAGCTCTCTGTGGAAAGCTCCTCCTCCTGCCTGGGGCTGACCCTGGCACAGCTCTTATAAAGGCTCAGCTTTCCAAACAGCCTAAAGCAGGCAGGAAAAAAATCATGTCAGAAGTGGTAAATAGATGAGTTCCCAGATGATTGATTCAGATCCTTTCAGAGACAGGAATTCTGATTTGTGAACAGCTGGAAAGCACTGCTGGCTCCTCTCTGGTGCCAGTCTGTGTGTGGTCACTGGAATGTGCTCCATATGCCCTTTGGACACGTGTCAAAAGTCACATGTCATTAATTTCTCCAAACTTTGCAGTATTAAAGGTGTAGGAAGGTCGTAGAAATGGAAAGTGTCTTATAAATGTGAAGAATTGTTTCCTGTGGTTTAGTTAATTTTACTTTTTTTTTCAATCCAGATTTTTTCCCAATGACACAATTTGAGCTTTACCTCTGAGATTTTTCTCCCAGAAATAAATGGCTTGGAACAAAAGGGACTTTTAACAGAACATAGCACCGTGTAACTTTTGTAGGATCATTAAAGGCAGATTAGATTTATTGGCACTCGTGGCTCCAAAGAGAAGCTGTGGCTGCCCCTGGATCCCTGGAAGTGTCCCAGGCCAGGCTGGACAGGGACAGTGGAAGGTGTCCCTGCCATGGCAGGGGTGGCACTGGATGGAATTTAAGGCCCCTTCCACCCCAAACCATTCCAGGATTCTGTTTGGTCACACGGGTCCCTGCATTTGGATAAACAGGACCTCAAAAAGTGACTGGGACTTGTCTGACTCTCCTTGTCAGCAGTGCTTACACACTATGAGGGAACAAACACAATTCCAACGTTTGTTCCATTCCCAACAGAGAAAAGAGCAAAAATCATCACTCAGAATCAACACTGTGTCAGACAGACATCCAAAAAATTATTATTAGATATTTCAAAAGAAGCCTTTTTAATAGCAATTGTTCTATGTGGGATTGTTTTTTTTCTTTTTTTTAATTTCAGTATAAAGTATTTGGTATTTGAAGTCTTTAATTGTGTTGGCAAAAAGCCACTAAGAGGCTTTGATTTTTGGAAACAAATCCATGTGACTGATCTGAGTGGGATCATAATGGCTACAAGGACTCGTCCATCAGGAGCTATTTTTAACCATGAAGTCAGAACTGCAACGGGGAAAGTAAAGCTTAGACTAAACTACAGAAAGGTAAACCTTGCAATATTCTTAAAGATTAAACTCTCCTGCAGTTACAAAATAGCTAAAGTTATTCCTGGTGCCTATATCCCAACCTATATTATCCCAAGTGACATTATTCCTAAACATCTACCTCCAGAACTCCAAATACAGACAGAGCTGCTACACTGAATGGTCAGGATGTGTTGGAGTCCTTCCCAATTTTTTTTCCTGTTACTTTTTGCTTTGGTTCATTATTGGCTTGTGTTTCTACATCTTTGACCTGTCTTTCGTTTTGTTCCTGTCTGTATTTTTGTTATCAGTTGTTTCCTTTCATGGCTTATTTGTCCTCAAGTGATTTTGGCAGCTCCCTGTCCAATGTCAGCTGTACAGGATCCATCATTCCATGTGCAACAGGCAGCAGAGCATGGATCCTTGAGACATCCAGTAAATAAAAACCAGAGATAGAATCCCAAACTGGATTGGGTTGGCAGTGACCTTAAATCCCACCCAGTGCCACCCCTGCCATGGCAGGGACACTTTCCACTGCCCCAGGGTGCTCCAAGCCCCAATGCCCAGCCTGGCTTTGGGCACTGCCAGGGATCCAGGGGCAGCCACAGCTGCTCTGGGCACCCTGTGCCAGCCCTGCCCACCCACCCTGTAAAAGTCTGCCTAATATCTGATCTAAATCTCTCCCCTTTCAGTTTAAATCCATTTCCCTTTGTCCTAAAAGGTGATGGCAGGAGGTGATGGGCTCATTCTGGGCCATGCAAAGGACGCTGTGAGCACACAGAGCTCAGAGCAGGAGGCCAGCAGCTTCCAGAGGGTGGGATGGGTACACAGCATCCTCCTCTGGGATATGGGGATACATGGAGGGGAGCAGAACTGGGAAAACTGCTCAGTGTGAGCAGCTGGGGTGAATCAAAACAGAGCCATTCACCCAGAGCCATGGGCATGGGAGAGGAGTGGGGAAAATGTGATGGTGAGTTCAGGTTGGAGAGGAGAGGGATCCAGGGAGAGCTCAGAGCCTCTTCCAGATCCCAAAGGGGCTCCAGGAGAGCTGGAGAGGGACTGGGGACAAGGCATGGAGGGACAGCACACAGGGAATGGCTTCAAATTGGAAAAGGGGAGATTTGGGTGGGATATTGGGAAGGAATTCCTCGCTGGGAGAGTGATGAGGGGCTGGAAAAGAATTCCCAGAGAAGCTGTGGATCCCTGGAATGTCCAAGGCCAGGTTGGAACAACCTGGGACAGTGGAAGGTGTCCCTGCCATGGCAGGGCCGGTGCAGGGCTGATCCCCGGGCCGTGCCGGGCTGTGCTGAGAGCAGGGCGGTGCCAATCCCGTCCCCATTGTCATTCCTGATCCCGTTCCCATTGCTAATCCCGATTCCAGTGCCGCTCCCATCCCCATTGCCATTCCCGATCCCGGTGCTGCTCCGGTTCCCATTGCCATTCCCGTTCCCATTGCCATTCCCATTGCCATTCCCGTTCCCATTGCCACTCCCATCCCCATTGCCATTCCCGATCCTGGTGCCATTCCCGATCCTGGTGCCTCTCCGGTTCCCATTGCCATTCCCGATCCCGGTGCCATTCCCGATCCCGGTGCCTCTCCTATTCCCGTTGCCATTCCCATTCCCGTTCCCATTCCCGATCCCGGTGCCTCTCCGGTTCCTCTCCGGTTCCTCTCCGGTTCTCATTGCCATTCCCGTTCCCGTTCCCACTGCCATTCCCCATCCCGGTGCCTCTCCGGTTCCCGGTGCCATTCCCGATCCCGGTGCCTCTCCCATTCCCATTGCCATTCCCATTCCCGGTGCCATTCCCGTTCCCATTCCCGTTGCCATTCCCGTTCCCGTTGCCGTTCCCGTTGCCGTTCCCGTTGCCGTTCCCGTTGCCATTCCCGTTGCCGTTTCCATTCCCGCTGCCGGTGCCGCTCCCATCGCCGTCGCGGGCGCTGTGGCGGCCCGGGCGGGGCTCGGGGAGGGAGGGGCGGCGGTCGGTCACGTGTGGCCGCCCGGTTAAAGCGGCCGCGGGCGGCGGGAGCGGCACAATCACGGCTGGGGCGGCGAGCGGGGCCCGCCCGCTGCCCGCGGCCCCCGCAGCGCCCCGCCAGCATGGCCGGGGCCATCATCGAGAACATGAGCACCCGCAAGCTCTGCATCGTCGGGGGCATCCTGCTCGTGTTCCAAGTCATCGCCTTCCTGGTGGGAGGGCTCATCGGTGAGTGCTGGGGGCCGCTGCCTTCCTCCTCCTCCTCCTCCTCCTCCTCCTGCCGCCGCTGCCCGCTTGTTTAGTGCTGGTTACAGTATCGCTGACTCGCTCCCATGATCTCATTATCCGCTTTTGTAGCCGAGCGATCCCGGCTCCGGGCCCTTTGTGCCCGTCCCGCGGCTGCTGCGGGGGGAGCCGGTCAAGGAAAAGTTTTTGTGTTGCTTTCTCTCTTTTTCTCTTTTTTTTTTTTTTTTTTTTTTGGCCTGGTTTCAGACTAGACTTAAAGAAAGAGGGAAGTGGGAAAGCTTCAGTATGGCGACGGAACGCGCAGGGAGCCTCGCGTTTCAAAGTTGGCTTAGAAAATAATAATAATTTATTTTTTTAAAAGGATTTTTCCTCCCTTCTTGGCGCTGCACCTCCCCGTGCTTCGGCCTCCGAATCGGCCGCGGGAGGAAACCTCCCCCTTTGCCAGAATGAGAACAAAAAAAAAAAAAAATTAATAAAAAATCTAGGGAGGGGGGGGAAAAAAAGAAAAGAAAAACGAGAATGACTGGTGAGAGAGGGGGGGGGTCCCGGCTCTGGGGTTTTTTTGTGGCTTGCGCTTTGTCTGGGCTCGTTTCCGCGGGGGAGCTCCCGGTCCCGTCCCGGGAGGGGATCCCTCCCTTCCACCCCCGACCCTCTTCCCACAGGACCCCCCCCACCCCGTTCCACCTCCTGCTCCAGGAGGGACACCCCATTCCCGATCCTAATCCAGGAGAAGCTCAAACTCGGCCTGGGTTCGTTCCTGCCCATGGAAAACCCTCGTGGCTGCCCCAGGGAGGGATTTAATCCCCGACTCCCCTCGGCCCTGGGGGCCCCCCCGGCTCCGCACCGGGCACTTTAAAAGCCCAGATTGTGTTTATTTACCCCTGAGCATTCCCAAAGGCACGGAGATGGGAACTGGGACACAGCCCTGCGGCCAGAGGAGTTTTCCCTGGGGAATGGAAGGAGGAAGATGGAGGAGAGCGAGTTTGGGGCAGTCCTGGGATTTTTTTGATTTTTTTTTTTTTTTTTTTTTTTTTTTTTACTAGAAAGCAGCTGAGTTGTGCGCCGGCTCCTTGGAATGATGGGCGCATGGATGTGGCTGTTTTGGCCATTTCCAGAGTGGGAATGTTGCCTTTCTGTCCGGGAAGGATTGTCCAGCATCCCCCACTCCCTGGGGCAGGGCTGGCTCCCCCGGGGTCCATCCCTTCCTCCCTGGCAGGATCCCTGCGGAGCTCCGGGCATTTTCAGGAAGAATCGGGGTCAAATTCATTCTGAAACTTTGTTGCACTTTGTTGGGAGAATAAAGTTGGGTTGTTCCCTCTGTTCGAGAGGGATTGAGGGAATAGCTCCAGCCATTCCTCGGGAAGCAGGCTCTGTGCTCCTGGTGCCCATCACTGCTTTGCCTTCGTGGCCTTGCTTTATCGGCCTCTAATAACCATGAAATTTCACTAAATGTAATTTTGGAACTCTTCAGCGTCCCTCATTCTCCTGTTTCCTCACCTCCATCACAAGGGAGTTGCTTGCACATATTGACTAAAACTCATTTTTCCTGCTCTTGCAGGCCTGAAACCACGAAGTTTATCAGGATTAGCTTTTCTCCTTCCTTTTTTTTTTTTTTTTCTCTTTAAGAGCTGGTTCAAGAGCAGGTTACTGAACCCGCCGCCGATTCCTGAGATAAAATTTCTTGGCTTGTGCTGTGCAGAGAAGCCAGACTTCATCTCAGAAGGGTTTTTCTAGCAGATTCTTGCTGTTAAATTGAAACAGTTGCTTGTTCCAAAAGCTGGTGTGGCTCAGAAAGCCCTGTTTGTGCTGGCAGCTGGGGACAGATGTGACAAACAGATGTTTATGGTTTGCTTTACAGGGAAAAGACAAATGTTTCTGCTCAGTTTTGAAGGGATTCAGAGATTAAAGAATTTAAATTATGTTAGTTCAGTTTTTCAGCTGGTTTATGCCCTTGCTTTATTGGCTGCTGCTGCTGGGCATCCACCTCAGGCCCTCCCATCCTGGATGGGTCTCCCAGGTGGGGCTGGAAAGCTGCATGGACAGGTTGGGAGTGCTGGGGACAGGGATTTGGGGCTGAGTTCAATGCCCTGCACAGGCTCAGTCACTCCATCCTGCTGGGGTAAATGCATCTTTTTATCTGTGGTCAGTCCTAGGGGATGCTGCCCCAAAAGTGCTTTAATTCCTGGAAATTCTCCCTTTGATCTTCCCTCAGATCAAACTGCCCTAATCAATCGTCCGAACTGTTTTTTCCTCTGCATCATTTATCTCTTCTGATAGATTTGAGGATTTTAGAGGCTCATCCCTGAGCCAGCAGCTCCCAGCCAGCCTTCCTGGGAGCTGCAAATCCAGGGATATTTGGTGCTTGTGAAACACAAAGTTCCATGTGTAACCTAGGTGTGGTCCCCAACATCTGGCAGGGTGACACACGGCTTGGGAGGCTGAGCAGCTCTTCCCAGGAACCTGCCTTGTTTTGGGCTCTCTGTATCCCTGAGAACTCTGATCCAGGGCTTTGGGACTGAGCCCTTTAGAGATTCCCAAGCATGTGGTGTTTCCTACAAGGAGGCTGCTCGTGGGTTGGTGGCCGACATTCCAAAGGGACCAGAGCTGTGCTGGGAGAGCTCCCAGTGTCACCCCAGAGCTTCTCCCAGTGGTGACTCCAGGTGGGGTGGGAGCAGAGGTGGCACTGACACAGTGGCCCTGCTCTGGTTTGATCCAGTGCACCCAACAGACACCAAAATCCGGTTATTTTGGTGTGCCCAGGTCTAGACAACCCAAAATACGTACACGAGTGGGACAGGGCTGCAAAGCCGAGCCAGCCTTTCCCCTCGCAGGCACTTAGGTCATGTTTCAAAACAATGACTAAGTGCTCTATTTTAACAGATCCCTCGTGCCAGTCCAAAATACCCAAATGCAGCACTTGGTACCTGATACAACCACCACAAAGCTGATTTTCCTCACATCGGGGGGTTTCTGCCACTGCTCGTTCCCAGCTCAGTTTTGGGCAGTCAGTGTGTGATGCCAGAGTTTTAATGCAACTCCCACATTTCCAACAGCTCTGTTATTTAGCAGCAGGAACCTTATCAGCTCTCAGGTGGGATTTGCTCACAGCTGTCTGTTGGCAAAGCATGGGATGCACAAGAATGGGAGAAATTTCCTGTGGCAACAACTCCCTGACAGGAGCGTGCAGCCAGGTGGGGATCAGGCTCTGCTCCCAGGGGACAAGGGACAGGACGAGGGGAAACGGCCTCATGTTGTGCCAGGGGAGTTTAAGGTTGGATATTTGGGAAGATTTCTTTGTGGAAAAGGTTGTCCAGCCCTGCTGCAGGTTCTCCAGGGCAGTGGTACAGTCCCTATGCCTGGAGGGAGTTTTGCAAAGCTCAAAAAGGGAGCACACACTCCAAAAGAGAATTTTATTGGGCTGTTTCTTAGCTGAGCTATGGTCATGAACTGTTGGCTCCAGAAAGTGGGGCTGTCACTACTTGAAACCCCACAGAATTCCTGATGTCTGCTCCCTTCGTGGGAAACATCTTGTTTAAAGGTCACGCTTCTGGGCTGTGTGTGATGTGTTCACTTGGGATGCAGCAGTGGGAGATAGAACATGATCCACAAAATTAATCCTAATGCAGCCTTGTCTCCACTATCCCTCTGTAAATGATGGCACGTGTGGATTACAGGGGAATGGGATCGCCAGGAATGGTTTCTGTTATCGTTTGTGAGGAATGAGGCTGATGATCATTTACAGCCTCGCTGGCATTCCCCTCAGCCTCTGCCTGCTCTGCCTTCCCTGGATCCAGCCTGGCTGTCCCAGGATGCCACCAGGCTTGGGAGCTGCGACAGCCCTGGGCAAGGCACGAGGACAAACCCTGCACCTCCAGTCCTGGAGCAGAGCTGGGTCCTGAGGAC